GTAAGCTGCTCCAGAGCCAAGCTATTTCAAGCAGTACTACAGTACATCGGAGTGCTGCCGAAGTACGCCAACTCCGCATACTTGAATTCTCCCGTCCCGGTGGTGTTCAATTGGAGAAATTTCGAGTCTGCACACTGTGTAGAATCCGCGGTCCTAAAAATCCCCACAAATGACTCGGACCAATTTCCCCAAATCTGTGGCGGAAAATGGTAAGGCGGGGCTCCATATACGCACAACCTGCAACACTGCTAGCGTGTTCCATTCCTTGTTCGCCGAGCGCTAGGAAGTATTCTTGCCTCGCTTCTGAAGCAAGGACGCCCGGAAGACATGGCGACCAAGCAAGCGTACTCGAGATTGAGAAACACCCAGTGTGTGTCTAGATAAACAAGATAAACATTTACAAGATAGACAGACAGTCAAAAATGATGTGTGAATGTATAGCATTAAAAAAAATAGAGCCAGTTGGAATGTCGCAATCTTCCAGTTTGCTGGCAAAACAATAAAGAACTGGTGTGAGGCAGAGCGATGGCCACAAGTAATATAGTTATCGTTAAAACCTGCCTAATGAAATAACACACCTTTGAACATTTTATTTTAATTATGCCACAGATAAGGCTTGCAAAAGAATTAACAAGCACAAACCGTTTTTCACAGGTTGGCCTCAGGGGGAGGTCGTGCTGCCAGTTACTAAGGCTTCGAAAGTGAATGAAGAAGTTCTTTATTCCCTTCCACATACAATCTTGATATGTTGGTTTCCTTTAAGAGGTGGGGAAAAACTCCCGGACCAGTTTTTCATGGAGGAACAATAAGGATGGATCAGATTTCCCTTTCTAGCTACTAGAGACGTTTGGTAATGTGTGGATAAGAATAATTGTTGGCAACGAGTGAGGAGAGGAGGCATGCGGAAAACCCTTGAGTTGCAAATGTTCACTCAAGGGGGGAAAGTGCCTCGCTGTATAAAAGAAGGAGTTCACCTATAATCGCAGGGGAAACATAAAGACACAAAACATCCACGGTTGTGTCATCTGATAAAAAAAAAATCCTGGACTGGCCCTTCTGAACTGCGGCAAACGACTCTTTGTGGAACATTGACACTAAACAAGGAGGCCTATTCTGCTTTTGGGGTTTTCCACTATCCTGTAGGGTGTATATAGGTTCTTGTGCATGTAAAAGGTCGCTAAGGCTACAATCCCATAGTCCCTTTAGGAATGGAGTTTCTCTCCCACGGACACTTCCCCCCCTTGCCTTTGTGTTACTACGCGTACCTTAATGACATCACATGCCAACACTCATGCTTCTATAGCCAGTGCTGCTAACACATTTCACATAATAAGCAATGGGGCGGCGACATCTCTAAGCCGGCATTGACCAATCACAACAGAGCCGGCCAGCTTAACAATCAGAGCAGACTGGGGCTGCAGCACAGGCAGGATGAAAAAATAAGATATTTTTGAGCATTAAGCATCGAAAGAAGTCACAGGTAGAGACACAAAATACAGAATGGATCTGGAAAAAAGCATAGTGTCTCACCTGTAGCTGTATATTACATTAAATCTTCAAACCTTTGAACCTCTTGAACAAAATGTTCACCGTTTCCTTTACCTAAAACTACGTATAGACGAAACTTAGTAAAGATAAATAACAAAACACTACTTAAAGAAAATACTTCTAAAAATATATATTAAGTTACATTTAATTTTTTTAAGTATACATTATTCGGAATTTTTATAACAGTGGGAACCAAAAGTATTTTACAACAAACAAAAGTAATACCTACACATAATGAAAAAAGAAGAGGAGAGAAGAAGCATGTGTGTTTGTAATGTTTCCACTCGGATGTCCCCCTAGTCGATTTGAAGAAATGAAAACCTTTTGTCATCAGATTTACCAGAGCTCCAAACCTCTCCGGATCGGTACCTAGAAAGCGACGGCTACACACAACCCCTCCAAGCTGGCCCCGCAGCGTCCAGAGAGGTCAAAGCTCTGTAAGGCAGCAGGGCACACGGGAAGCACTTCTCCCAACTCAGACACACGGACACTAATAATGACACTGCCACATAACATGATGTGATGTGACGCCCTATGTTTTAACTGCTGTACCTTTTCCCGTGTCTGTTATCCGTGCCTGCATTGGGCCCTACCGTCATCTGAATCTGCTACGTCCTAGCTGAACGGTGCGAAAAGGTATTCTGGCAGACGGAGCCACACTCTGTCGCCAAAAACTGTGAGTAGAAATACCGTTGCAGATGAAATAGCTAATAAAAAATATAATCCTGGCATAATCATATATTTTTTTCACTGAATTAATGTAATGCCATTAAGTGTATTTCAGGTCCTGTTGAAATAACTAACCTGTCAACTATATACCAAAAGAGCCAAGTTACAATTCCCCTATGAAAACAGTAATTTGGTGGCTAATGAACCCTTAATCTTCGTTTCAGACAGGCAGCCCTGTGGAGCCCTTCTCTCAAGCACAGCTTGTACCGTCGTTCTTCCTATATGGTTGAAGAAAACCTCTCATTTCTGCTCAAGCCTTTGTGAGTTCTCACCCTCTGACAAACATGCATACAGGCTAACATTAATATCCTCAAGGTTGTGAGTATACAATTGGTTAAATATTATTTGGTAGACAGTCCTTAAAACAGTAATTTTTTTATTTGAAGCCGTTTTATGTCTTGCTCGTTGGTTTTGCAGTCTACTCCGGGCTTCCGTTAATCTAGGAAAGTCTTCTGTGGAGTTGGTGAGAAAGTAACTTAGTTCGTCATCGGTTTGCACTATGGTTCGTAATTGCATGGCGGGCAAAATGCAAAAAACAAACAGGATTGTTGTCTGCCCTGGTTTTTAGATCCATTCAGATCTGTGGAAGCAAGCATGCTCAGTTGGAGGTACGTTAGTGTCGGCTAATAACGCTTTTGCATCTGGAATGCCAGAACATTAAAGTTCTCATTGTTTTTGCTTAATGTGTTCTCATTAGACACAATTCAGGAGACGATAGCGCAGCTGGAGCGAATGCTATATAGACCGCTACTGCTGATCCTCTGACCAGGGACCGGCCTACCAACCATGTCTCACTGCGGACACCGCACACAGCAGACTGGCATTCAGAACAAGATGGAGGACATAAAGTGGACCTTGAAGGTGTTGCGAGGAGAGGAACTAAGTGAAGACTAATATCGAAGTTCTCCCGGTCCCTCAAGCAGAACTACATCACAGAGATTAAGAAGTACCTCGAGTACTTCAGCTAAAAACGGGGCACAACGGATCCGAATCCAGATTTCCATCCGCTTGTAACGTCATGGACCCACGAAAGTTTGCTATCAGAAACAATGCCTGACGTTGTTTTTGAAGTAACTCGTCTTTGTCTTACATTAGCCAAGCCTCGCTAAAAACTCAGGCTAAACCTGTACTGAAGAGCCACATGTGTTTTAAAAAGCAGAAATAAAAAAGGAACTTACCTTGTTGATAAACCTGCGAGAGAAAAGGCATTTGAAGCTCCATACTGTTTCAGACAATAATCCTGACGTGGTTTAAACAGGATGGCGTTTTATCACAACCGAAGTGTAAAACTTTATCTCCGGTAGAAATCTGATCAGGGCATTAGCCCGCCTCCTCTTCTTTCTCTTTTTCAAGCTAGTCCCGAACATCTGCGTTTCAATAATAACAGGGCTGCAGAAGAGGGGTTTGGAGCGTGAACCTCAAAGTTTGAGCAGTAACGGAGCGTCCACACAGCAGCGTGCGTTGACGCTTGGCGGTGGGCGTGTCTCAAGCTTGGGGAGTCAACGCGAGCAACGCGACCAACAACCAATCACATGAATCTCCCGCCCCCGACATACAAAGCAAAAGGCTAGCATTCCATGCTAGCTATATATACTGTCTATGCCTGCTAGCTGTCAATTCAATGTTTAAACGAGGTACACTGGATATAAACTCCCCAAACAGGCGAAAACCTACCAGTTTCACCCACTATCTCTGCCACCTCCCTCCATGCCTGGCTCCTCCGGTTTGTATCCCGGTAGATGAACAGAGACTGATCATAAAGCACCGGGTGATTCACTACTCGCAGCATACACGCGGTTTGATTGGCTAGCAGTTGTACTGGCAGATTTTCATAAACGGGATTTGATTGGCTGACGCTTCCGTTGAAGCTTCAAAAGTTGAACATGGTTCAACTTTTGACGCGAGCAACGCGTAGCCACGCTCCCCACAATGCAGTTCGGCGAAGCGTGACGTCACCCCATTCAAAGTGAATGGGCAGAAGCGTTGAAGCTTCAACGCACACCGCTGTGTGGACGGGCCGTAAGAGGCATGGCTACAATGGGTGATCTGTTTGGTATTTTGAAAAAAAAACTTCACAGACATGTTTTATATAAGTATGGCCCTACAATATATTTTTCAAATATAGCATGAAAGGTCCACTTTAAGTTCAATAAAACTTAACTTAATAAAACACTTAAAAAAATCAAAGGAGAAACTCCCTCGGGAGGGAACTTTGAAAAACCAATATTACACAGTACAGGAAAGGGATAATCCTGTAAAGCATAATAGGGCCTCTTTAAATATATATAATATTGCTGCCTTGCTAGGATAATTGATTTGTGGCATAATGATTTTGCCTGAAACGGTATTGCCAAATCTCTACCGGTGGACATATTTGAACCCAGTAAATATATGTAAATATATATACATATACAGGATGATTTAATGTCCCAGACAAAAAGGAGAAATATTATCTGTGTTAATTATTGAGTTTTAAAACACTTCATAGGAAGGCTATATAAATAAAAGCTTACATGGTGTAGTATCCGTCCATTCATTCAAAGGTTTTTCCTCATATTTGTATCAATGATATTCAGTTTTGGCTGATACTTGATAGTAGAGAGGGCAATGCTGTTGTATTAGCAAAAGAGCTATCTCCCTGCAACAACAACAACAACAACAATAATATTACTTCCTCCTCTTCTTCTGTAACCTGGTGAATAACCTATTATCTGTCCTTCCAGGCGCTCTGTCTTACACGCTGATTTTCAATCTCCTACAATTTCCTGCCGGAGTTGTTCCTGTTTCCACTGTGAAGGCAGAGGATGAGGAGGAACTGAAGCACTATAAAGGCGTTTATCAGGATCGGTGGGACAAGCTCTTCAAACAGGTAAGACACTCTGACTTACAAAACAGTTGTTCCATACAGCACTTCAGTGTGAAGCCGTAGTTCTGCAGTTGGTCTGTAGATGGAGGCAGGAGACTTTGGTGGTTCTCTGACTGGATGTTGTGTTTGTGTTCAGGCTGTGTGTGGAGGCGAGGGTCTGCCCGTGGGGGTGCAGTGCGTCACTCTGCCGTGGCAGGACGAGCTGTGCCTGCGCCTCATGAAGGAGGTGGAGCAGCTGGTCAAACAGAGCAAAGCGTAAAGGAGGACACACAGAAGAAGTATGAGGAAAAACACAATCAATGTTTGGGATAAAGGAAGTTGAGTCTAGGAAATTCTTTAATATTAGGAGTTTCACTGTGCAGCTGTATAAGGATTAACTCAGGCTTTTTTAGATCCATAATTAAGATTTGATAAATGTTAAAGGGAATATTCATGTTTACTGATTTGAAAACGGTACACATTCTTTGTTTAACACTGTTTTTAATTTGTCTTGCACTACTAAAACAGGAACTTTAGCTTTTGCTGCTTTTAAATGAACTGTGTTTCTGACATTGACAGGTTGACTATAGGGTGTTTCGGCGAAATTCAGCATCCTGAACATTGAACATGAAATGGTGTTTTTTTTCAGTTGGCATTATGTTTAATATAATATCGCATGAGAATGAAATACATGCTGGAAAATAAATTGACCTCACAACAGCGTTATGCAAACAGTGCATAGCAACCACACACACAACCTTTTGTGAGTTAGGGTTTATAATCAGGTCTGCACATAACTGCGCATGCGCACCCCCCGCCAAAAAAGAGCACCGGATCATTTGAAAAAAGGCGCATTTGCGCACCAACATTGAGAGAGGGAGAGAGAGAGAGAGAAAAGAGAGATGAGAGAGAGAGAGAAAAGAGAGAAGAGAGAGAAAATAGAGAAGAAAGAGATATTTGCGAGTTGCACAAGAACTGGTAAGATAGCAGGGTTTCCCACACATAGACTTTACTTGCGCGGGCCGCCCAGGTATATTAACGGCCGCCAAAGTATAATTCGCGAGCTATTTCGGTTTAATTGTTTTAATCCGTCCGCGAGCACCACGGCATCTGCGATCCCTCGCTATCGCGTGAAGGGTCTGCTTTATGCGCTCCACACAGTAACCCTGCTGCGTGCTCACTAGCGCACCTCCCCCCCCCCTCCCTTCATAAAGTCAAGACCCCCTCAAAAAGGTCCGGTTTATTTCATTTTAAGGATGCACACCAAGCAACATCTTCAGGTGCTCCTTTGAGAACCAGGGCAAAAAAGTTATGTGCACCCGTGTTTATAATGAATAATGTTGGCACCTAATTCATACAGTATGTGTCTTTTTTACAAGAACTGACAGATTTCTGTGATGTGATGACAAAAAATACAATAAAATGACAGATTTCTCACAAGTAAACCATTGCTATTATTTGTTTCCAAAATAGAAATGTTGAAATGTGGTTTAGGGGGTTTGGGGCGGTGGTGGTCGATAGGGAGTTGGCTTGGCAACTCAAAGGTCACCAGTTCAAGTCTCGGCAAGTGCAAGTAATTTTTATTTTATTAACTTTTCTTTTTAATGACTGATTTTAAATGCTATTTTCTTAATGTCTTTCATTTTTTGTAAAGCACTTTGAATTGCCTTGTGTTGAAAAGTGCTATATAAATAAACTTGCCTTGCCTTATCGAGGTGTCCCTGAGCAAGGCACCGTTCCCTACAATCCCGGGCAGATGGGGCTCATAGCCATGGAAGGCAGCCCATCTAGGAACTAAAAACCAAGACTGAGAGGAGTTGCGCCCCCAGTCCTTAATCAGCATAGTAAAGCCAACCATGAAGAACAAAGTCATCCCAAAAATCCTATATGGAAAACCGGGATGACTGGAAGCGACGATGGAGGGCTCGTCTGAGGACGACCTAGAGAGAGGTTGGTACCAGACATCGATAATGCACTCTGTACAGGTCATAAATAATCCAGCGTTCCTTCCTCTGCTCACCTGTAACATCACTTGTAATGGTTTCTTTTGGTGTACCAGTTGAAGTTGATATTTACAGTATTTAAATCCTGCACAGTTAACATGTGTTGATAAGGAGTGTTTAACAAAAGGAGTTTATAGAGTGCACCTTCATGGCATCTGTGGGGTTCACAAAACCTCTGTCTTTCCCTTCTTCTTCCTCTCCTCCTCTCCATCACTGTGCCAGAGATGAGCGAAGACCATTTTCTTATTGTGAGTGATTGTTGTCCCGATGCTTTTACAGGAAACAGAAAAGAGATAAAGGAGACTAATGACACATGGCGCCTCCATCTACAAGGCCGGCACACCGTGTCATCATATTGTGATTACCCCGTGCTATTGTAAATATGTGTTTCTGTTGGGTTTACATACATTTACATATGTTTTAAAACTCTCCTGGGATGGGAAACCATTAGGGACAATGTTAGCTTTTTCCATTACAATCGCCCACGTTTGCTCCGCAGTGTCATTGAATGGGAATGGCCGTGTGCGAGCGGCGGAGGAAGGAGGGTACATGAGGCGAGGAGGGGAGCTGGAATTGAGAGGTTGTTCTTAGCATTATCTGTGGCACATAGAGAGAGAGTGTGTGGCTCTCGCTGTGCCACTCAGTCAGGGAGCATTAAGCTTTAAGAGGCAGCGAAGAGACTCAGGTCTTCAGAGGGAACTTGACATTGTTCATAAATCCCTCAGGATCTGAGACAGAGGCAATGACACACACACACACACACACACACACACAGGCAAAATTCAGTCTTTAAATTGCCCCATTAAATACATTTAGCAATACAATTTGGTATTATATTACATATNCAGCGAAGAGACTCAGGTCTTCAGAGGGAACTTGACATTGTTCATAAATCCCTCAGGATCTGAGACAGAGGCAATGACACACACACACACACACACACACACACACACACACACACACACACACACACACACACACACACACACACAGGCAAAATTCAGTCTTTAAATTGCCCCATTAAATACATTTAGCAATACAATTTGGTATTATATTACATATTTAAATCAATTTAACCATTATCCCAATCATTCAGCTCTTTATAAGCATCTCAGATGATCAAATATCAAATGATTTAGTAAATCACTTCATCAAATAATCATATTTAAAAAGAAGATGGTGAATGTCCAAAGAAAAATATGTTTCTATTCGTTCCTAATTTAAAATTGTACAATACACTGTACAAGCGTAAAACATACACCTTTAATCACGTTATTTATCTGACTGTAAGAAAGTGTGAGATTTCGCCATCCTTGACAACTTTCTTCCAAAGGACTGCCAATAGATGTATTATGGTTCTGGTAAACACAAAGCATTTGATGTTAACTTGGACAATTCCCCAAAAGGTTGTTATAGTCCCTTTTCAGAAGATATTTTGACATGTTGCACTCGGAAAAACAGGTGTAATGTTAACAATGAATGATTCAATTTAGCTGATTTTGATCCAGGTTCATGGTGTCATACTTAAACATTCAGGCAGTTGGCCATATCTACATTTATAAGGGCTCATGTATTGTTAATGCAGAAGAAATAGAAGTGTTAATGTTAGTGTACTTTATAATCTCTTGTGTGCATATATACAGTAAGATAATATGCGAAATAATATTTTAGGCTTTTTCCAATACATTGAATTGATTGCTGCTAAGCTATCAGGAAATTCCGTTGGGTCATCCATATTAGTTATAGTCCTATCAAAAATCCTCATTATTCGTGAGCGTGCTCAAGCGAACAGAAATGTTGAAAGCTCTTTTAGATTTTCACACAATCAATTGACTCCTTCCTTGTNTTATAATCTCTTGTGTGCATATATACAGTAAGATAATATGCGAAATAATATTTTAGGCTTTTTCCAATACATTGAATTGATTGCCGCTAAGCTATCAGGAAATTCCGTTGGGTCATTTAAGAAAAAAGCATCCTCCATATTAGTTATAGTCCTATCCAAAATCCTCATTATTCGTGAGCGTGCTCAAGCGAACAGAAATGTTAAAAGCTCTTTTAGATTTTCACACAATCAATTGACTCCTTCCTTGTGAAAGTGACCCCTGTACTGTAAGTCATACTTATAATCAACTTTGAGCTTCATATGCTTGAATCCATTGGCTCTCACTAATCGCAACAAACAAGAGATTAAGAATACCATTGAGTGATGTTATGTGATAAAATGTCTTATAGGTTTAATAAGTAGCTGTAAAAAAATGTGTTCGGTGTCGTGATGAAGTCATGATACTAAAAATGTTATATTTGAACGAAAGTGCATGCAATCTTTTGGAGAAGTTTAAGAAGTTGAGGCATCTGGCCAAAGCCCAGCCTGTTGTTTTCATAGTTCAGAACTCTGGCAGTGCTCTCGTCATGTAACGTCTCATTGATAAGAGCAGCAAACACCTAATTTACAGGAACCTTAGGCTATAAGATCAGGTACTTTAAAATCCATCCAAACACATTCAGACCCTGCCTATGTGCCAGCAAATAAAACACCTTGATATCGGCCCAACTAAACTAGGATGATTCTGTCTTAATGTCCCATTTCAGGGACCAGGGAGTCCATAGTCTTTATGGCTCCTCAGAATTGCAGGTAGTAATGTCTGACACAGCAGGGCTCCTGCCTTTCAGATGATCAAAAGAACAAGTTCAGCCTGCAACCAGAGCCACTTACAGCAGACATCAAGAAGCAGCAAGATTGGCAGCTTTTAGGTCTTTGGTCCATTTCATCAGCCATTACTACCAGCAGAGACGTGCTGAGGAGGACGAGTGGGAGGAGGGGAAGGCAGATTAACAGACAGCTGATACAGGTGTATAGGCGGTATCAAACAGCAGCTCTGTCAATACAGCAGCCTCCAAATTTCTTCAGAAAGCGCTGGGATCCCCAAAGTATGCCCACTGATTTCACTATGACAGGATTAACTGGGAGCTCCGAATGATTTTCTCAGATTCTGTGACTCAACAATTCAGTGATCCACGTTGTATCGGCTTTAAAGGCCCCTATCCCAAGTTTCAAAAGCTTACCCTTCGGACAAGGGACACTCTTTTTCTCCAATGCGGTTCCGCTTCCCTTTTTTTTTTTTTGCTGCATTCAGTTGTTCATCAACCCCCGCGTCCTCGCCAGCTCTCCCATCCTCCCTTCTCTGCACATCTGCTACGTTTGAGTTTTCCTTTCTTCCCTCCAGCGCCTTGCTTGGCCCAAGGCCCTTATAGCCAAATTGGTTTACATTGGAGAGATAAATGCTCTGCAAATGCGCTTAAACACGTACAGTAAAAAATGCAGACAGTGCGTGTCAGGATTATCACCCAAGTCAGGGGGAGAAAGGAGAGCGTCTCTGTAGCACAAAGCTGGGGAGCCGGAGTGAAGCCTGCAGATATAGTCCGTCTCATCCACTTCTCAGGAGAAAGAGAGGAGGATTTAGCATTTGCATGCTAGTCTGTAATTCCTGGCATTATATAACTTGTCGCCAACAATCAAACTCCTGTGGTATTGTGAAAGTATTGTTTCACATGGGTGAGCAAAGTGTGGAGTTACACTCCTGGGGGAAGGGGTTTTGGTGGCAGCATGGAGACAGCTGGTCCAGGGTGTAGACCACCCTATAAGCCCACCGAACAACTCTCTCCTGCAACACAACCTCAGGCCCGACTATACAAGGTGCTCCACAATATCGTCTAAAAATATTCAGTTTACAGCATAAATTACTCACTTTAACGTGGCTAGCGATCTGTCGGAAGAGTCTGATCCAAAGTGCAACAGCCAGAGAAAGGAGTATAACAAAATGCACCTGTGTGTT